TTGTGAATTATGTATGCATATACATTGAGAGAGACTGAGAACAAGCAAATGATAATGCAAATGGGGTGAAAGATTAACAATGGATGAAATGGGTAAAAGGCATGTGTGTGGTGTTACTTGTACTAGTCTCACTCTTGCATCATTTCTGTAGGTTTGAAAATTTTCCAAACACAAAGTAAAAAATTAAAAAGAAAGATACTAATATCTACTGGGTACCAGGCGTTGTGAAAGGTAGTTTCCCAGATGGGGGAAAGAAAAAGCCTGCCTCAGAGGAAAGTGACTTACTGAGAAGGAGGCTGGGCCTCAGGCAGGTAAGACACTGGTCCTCAGAGGACCCCAAGCAGCGGAAGCACTTAGTGTGACAGGGCTTGCATCCCAGAGTATCCTCATCCCAGTACTCGGAGGGGGCGCATTCCTTGTGAGGCACACATTTTCCATGGCTGTTCATCTTCAGGCCTTCCTGACAGGTCGTGCAGGTCCCAGACGATGAGCAGGTCTGGCAGGACTTGTCGCAATCTGTGGGTGGGGTGGGGGCAGCAGACAGAGAGTTAGAGAGGGCCAGGGTGTCCCTCTAGGGAATCAGTTCCCCTGGAAAGTGTATTCACATTCCTTCCTCTTTTCTTCAAGAGATTTCTAGGGCTCTGTGCCAAGGCTGTGGAGCTGTGAGTTGGGTATAGCATTCCCAACTCTTGGGCTCTGGGTAGAGCATTCTTGCTGCAAAATGAGAAAAAATTCTCTGTAATAATTAGAGAGCCCATTCCTGCAACAGCCACCTCAGAAATTTTAGTAAGACTTACTGTAATTACCCAAACTGTAACAAAACAATAATAAGCAATTCTGCAGCATCATGGTCACACACTGGTTTGTGGCCTTTTCACCACAATAACTCCTGTTTTGTGGTCCTCCAGTGACCTCCCAGAATACCCTGAACTTACCACCAACATTGATATATATTATAATTACCTATTGAAAAAAAAAAGGCCTGTTTTATATTCATTTACGAATGCACAATGTCTATGAGAGGGCCTGGCATATACTAAGCACTCAGAAAATATTTGTTAGACAAGTAAAATAAAATCAATTCACTCCCACCTAGGCATCTTAGCAGTTGCCGTTACCTCTGCCTAGAATTTTCTTTTGCCAGGTGTATGTGTGGTTTGCTCCCTGCATTTATCAGTGATATCTTCCAGGCCTCCCTCTCTCTAATTTCATCTCCATTCTGCCCAACTTNGTTGGGTTGTTCAGCCCCACACCACCCCAGTCCGTCCTCCACCAACCCCAGTGGAGCTGCTGATTCTTGTCTTTTCTTCTTCCTGAACAACATTTAGGGGTAGAAATTGAGGGTGGTTTAATTAGAAAGTAAAAAACTGACATTTGCTGGCTTTGCAGGTTAGCACGCAGTTCTTAGAGGCAACTTCTTCCCAGCTTCTGCTTAACCTCACTGAATGGAAGTCAGGCTCTCCTGAATTTTTAGTGGGAGCCGCTTGTCAACTCCAGGCCAGAAGCCAGTTTGTCTCCGTAACTCCAGTCAGCATTAAGCACAGGCGCTAGTGAAAAAGCTGAGCCGTTTTAGAGCTGCTGTGGATTCACACTCTGTGCTGGGGGAGTCTCTGAGCTACTCCAGGGCAGGGGCCATGTCATTCATCTCTGGTTTTCCAGCACATAGCACAAGGTTAGGTCCCCAGTAAATATTTGTTTGGTGACTATTTTGTTAAAGATGGATGTTTACAGTGGTTCACTGTCCAGTTGATATGTCTGGTTAACTAGAGGGAAGCCTTAGCCCCCTAAAGATGAAACACCTCAGTATTTTTTCTTATTGCTATTGTAACATACTACCCTAAACTTAATGGTTTAAAACAATACAACTGTATTATTTTATAGTTCGAGAGGTCAGAGGTCAGATGGCACAGGGCCATGTTCTTTTTAGAGGCCTGAGGGAGAATCTATTTCTTTGCCTTTTCCAGCTTCTGGAGGCCAGGTACCTGCATCCCTTGGTTTGTGGCCTCCTCCTCCATCGTCACAGCCACAACATAGCATCTTCCCTCTCTCTGTTCCTCTGCTCTGACATCACGTAGCCTTGAACTACTAACTTTGGTCATTCTGCCTCCTTCTTGTAAAGATCCTTGTGATAATCCAGGATAATCCTCCCAAATCAAGACCATAATTCAATCACATCTACAAAATCCCTTTTTGCTGTGTAAGGTAACAAAATTCCCAGAGTCTGGGGATTAGGGTGTGGACATTTTTGGGGGGAGCGTTATTCAGTTTAGCACACCCTCTGTGCATAACTAGCCTGACTCTCATGGGGGTAGTGATGAGGGCCAGGGAGGGAGGATATGAGAAGATGAGGCCTGAGCATACCCTGGACCCAGCGCTTGGGAGACTGTGTACAGAGTTGCACAGTGTGTACTGTGTTACACACTAGTGCTGACGTCTCAGTTGTAGTCTAATTTGTATCCCAAGTTTAAGGGAAGAACACCTTGTACTGATAAAATGTCTTCCTGTCTATGCGAAGGTGCCCAAGGTGATCACTGGTAGCATTCTAAATTGGGGATAATATAAAGAAGGTCCAGGTGAGGGGGATGATATGGGAGATCTGGGATGTTCTCATGAAGCAGTTAACTGCTGGGAGGAAAGGTCCCTGAGGTTTGTGTAATAAGAGCTAAGATGGATAGACAGAGAAGACTGGTATCTTTGAGTATTTTCTATTGGGAGGTGATTAGGAATGGTATGAGGATAGCTATCCCTGTGTCATAGCAGGGGAATGGTGCCCTTGCTGATGACACGTCAACAAGAAGAAGGAAAATTGTTACATATTTCCACTCTAAGTGTCTCACTTCTCAGGTTTACTCTATTGGGTTGGGGAGATAAATGCTAGTNAACTTCTAGAGGTCATATGACCCATGTTGGCATCTCTGGACATCTTACACTGAAGCTATCCTAGAAACCAAAGGCTCACCCTTGGTTTCTCTGGTACAAACTGTTAGCTTCATTAGTTTTTTTTTTTGTTTTGTTTTGTTGTTGTTGTTGTTTTAAAGTTTATTTCAGTTCTACTAACTTATTGAAAACTAACACCATGGCTAGGCAAAGCTGAGCCTGCCTCTACCTATATGTCATATATACCTATATAGCCATATGTCATCGATCTGAATGAGTACACTTGTACCTCAGTGGCCCAGTTTGTGGCATATCAAGCCTGGTTTCACCTTCTGCAGTTAGGTGGAGAACAAGTAATGCTATGAGTCAATCAGTGAGATTCTGAGGTATTTGAGAGCCAAGGTGATGAAAGGAGAACAAAAGAAAGCACCAACCATGAACTGAATAGTTGATAAAGATCACATAAGATTCAAAAGAGAAAGCAACAGGGAAAAGTGAAAATCCACACAGAACAGAGGGAATTACACAGGACTGAAGTCAGAAGATCTGATTTTTAGTTTTGACTCTACCATGTATTAGTAGCTGTGTGACTTTGGGCAAGTCATTTAACTTCTCTGAGCCTTACTTTCCTCATCTGTGAAATGGAGAGAGTATCAACATCATAGGATCGTTGTAGAATCAAATCATAATGTAAAGATACATAGTGAGTGAAAATGCTATGTAAACTCTAAAGCAGCATGCACACATCCTTTACTAATGTTATGAGGATGAAAAGAATCAGTGGGAACTGTGGGAAAGAAAGCTTATCAATGCCAAGTAGGTTTTAAAAATTATCAAAGGGTTGTGCTACAAGAAAGACAATGGACAGTTTAGTGGACCAGATTAAAAGAAGAGCACAGTGCCACTGCTTACTTTGATGACTCTTTTGCATGAGGTGGCTATGAAATCTCTTGAGCCTTATAGCCTTGAAGAGAATCTTGTGCATAAGCACAGACAGTAACAGAACTTTAAGATCCTGCTCTGAGGTTAGACACCAAAATAACTGCGTGTGTTGGGACAGGGTGCAGATAATTACATACCTGCCTTTCTATGGGAAAGAGATTTGACATATGAAGTTTATGCAATGCATGTGAATCATTGATTTTATAAGAGGAACCATTTCAGTTAAATATCTCCACTTATACCTCATTAATACCCTATTTATTCCCCATTAAAGAGATTTATGGCAACCCATGCCTTTCTCTTCCGAATGGGCAACTTCACACACCATGGAACAATTGTCTTCTTAATTCCATAGTCTGCAATCTATTTAGATCACAGTATTTTACCTCTTTTTTTGTGCATACGAATATTTAGTGACTTGATTTGAGGAAGATGGAGATTCTTTATATGGGATCGACATTTTTTCAGGCACTTATTAGAATGAAGGGGAAGGACTCAGGCAGGCAGCCGCATAACCTCTCTTGTCTGGCAGGACCCTATCTTCATTGATCTCAATGGCTGGTGTCATTTTGGGTACTGCTAATGTGTGTGCTTCTTTTCTGGGTGTTGTATAACATGTGTGAAAAATAAGAGGTCTTTTTCTTCCAGGAGCTTGTAACTTTCTTGGGAAGAGCTATATAAGA